CCAGAGGACACAAAGTAGTGGACAGGGCCAGAGGGCACAGCTGGTCACCAGGATGGGGGACAGGGAGAGAAGGGATGGAAGGCAAGGCTGGGATCCCTTCCCTCACACAACAGCCCGTCTCCCTCTCTCCCTTCCCCACCAAGGACTGGTGCTCGCTTAAAGTTAGGGTTGCAGACCTGGGCCAGCCTGGCTGGGCTTGGATCCTGGCTTAGTTACTTCCCCGCTGTGTGACCTTGGGTTAATGACCCAACCTCTCTGTGCATCACTGGTGAGAGGCAGGTGAGTTAACCTTGAGGAGATCTCACAGCATCCTCCATTGGAGGAAACTGGCTACTGTCCCCAGAGGTGGACTGGGGGGGGGTCCCTTTAGATTTTTTTGGTACCGGGGATCAAACTCGGGTCATTGCGTTTTCGAGGCAGGCAACAGAACCACCGAGCTAAATCCCTGGTCCTGGGGGGTCCCTTTAGAAAAGGGCTCGGAACTGGCAGGAGAAGTCTCAAAGCCCCCGGATGTTTTTCTGGACACAAAAAGGTCCTCATCCGTCGGCTTAGCCTCAGAGCCCCGGCATCCCCAGTCTCCGTCCTGCCATCTACACCCAGCTTTTGAGGGGGTCCTTGCCGGGAGGCCCTGCCCACCCACACAGGCACACACACACCAGAGCCCCAGCAGGGAGGGAAGCGGCCTGAGACCTGAGCTCTACCACCCGGCCCCACCCAGTCCCCAGTTCGCCACTGTTTCTGGGTGGGAGCCCAGGCTCCCACACGCTGCACCCCAGCCCTTTTTTTCATTTTGAGGCCCGGCCTTACTAAATCCCCCAGGCTGAGCTCAAACTCCTGACCTTCCTGTGTGCGCCTCCAGGAGTGCGGGGAGGGTGGGAGTGCACCACTCGGCCTGGCTCCTGTGGGGATTGTTTTTAAGGCTGAGACAACCCAGCGCGTATCCAAAACCAGCTCCCTCCTCAGGGATGGGCAGAGCTCAAGACGCGTGTGCGAGCCAGGCTCTGGACTGAACAAGGCACAGGGAAAACAAGGCTTCAGGAGGGCAAGCAGAGCCTCGGGAAAGCGGGGAACCCCACGCCTGCCCCCAGGCCTTGCTGGCTCCGTCCGCCCAGGAGGGCCCTTTCCCAATCTCACTGCGGGGGACAGGAGCCTCGCCAGAGACGCCCGGGCTCAGTCCCTCCGGCTACACAATTCAGTGACCTTGAACGGGCCTTTTATGATGGTTCGATTGTGGAGAGAGAAGCAAGCGCAGAAGAACTGATGTAAAAGCAGCCCGCACTCCCGCTCCCCGGTGTGAGAGCCACAGGTCCTGGGGTCCGGAGAGGCCCCGCTGGGAACATGGGTTCTGGTCGGTGGGCGGAGCCTGCGCGGTAGGCGGAGTTTCTCTTCCTGCCCACCCACTCGGTGTAGTGGGCATGCGCGATGCACTCACTCGCTAGAGGTAGGGTGTCCTCAAAAGCCTTGGGGGGGCCTCTGCTGGCCCTGCCCTCCAGGCTGATGCTAGCCACGTAGGTCCCCCCCCCAGCAATCTGGGGACCCATGGTAAGGTTTTGGGCGAGGCAGGACAAAGGCCACTCCTGCCGGCCCTCCGTGGGGCCCCCGCTGGACAGTTTAGACTAGTTACGCAGTTTGCAGGGCTCAGGATGAAGAAGTGCAGACCACTGGTTTAGGATGTCCTGCAAATGTGAAGCCAGCACTAGGCCCTCGGGGACCGCAGGGGTCACAGCCTTTGCTGCCGGCTCCCCCGGATGGGGACCCAGCTGCCCAGGAGCTCAGGGTCCAGCACAGAGCCGGACAAGACAGGTGGCGTTCAACAAATGTATTCTGAAGCTAGGCGCCTGTGGGAGGCTGAGGCAGGAGCATCGCAACCTGGGCCATGGGCAATTTAGCAAGACCTTGTCTCAAAATAAAAGGCAGGGGGTTGGGTGGGGTGGGGGGATTTAGGTCAGTGCAAAGGTCCTGGTTTCAATCCCCAGTAGCACAAAAGAAAACTTGGGATGAGGAGTGGGTGAGCTCGCGGGACAGTTCAGCCTTCAGAGGCCTTGCTCTCCTAGCCAGAGGGAGCCTGGACCACCTCCCCGGAGGAGGAAGCCCGGCTCTCTGAGCCGCCAGTGTCCTCCAGCTCCTACCACGGCTTCTCAGCTGGGGCTCAGCGGTGCAACCCCGGCCCATGTTACTTCACCTCTCTGTGCCTGGGTTTCTTCACCCGCGGGGGCAGTGTCTGTCTTCCAGCGCCTGCAACCCTGCCTGCCTGCTGTTATCTGTCCTGGCTCCTGTGTGCTTTCCCTTTGGCCTCTGAGCTCCGGAGGGCAGGGCCCAGGTCCCTTGTGCCCTCACTGGGGACAGCTGTGGGTGGTGCTAGAAGTCACAGCCCACCATGCTGGGCGGCCTCAGATGCTACAGCAACCTGCAAGTATCTCTGTCCCCGGAGCTGTTTCTAGGGGACAAGGAGACTTGTGGGGCTGCTGGGCGGTGCCTGTCACGCAGGCGTAGCTAGGGGGCCATGACAGAAGGGCGGAGAGGCCAAAATGAGAGGAAGGGGCGTGTGGGCCTGACTTGTCTGGGGCAGCCCCCCCCCCACAACACCCGGGGCTCCGCAGCTCTCTGCGCAGAGACTGCAAGGCCAGTTTGGCTGCAGGAATAACCGCGGTCACCTCCCTTCCCTCGTTACTCGTGTCCTTGCTCAGCAGAAAGCTCTTGCTCGCTCTCCGGACTCTGCTGAGAGGCCACTAATGCCACTCAGGAGGGCGCCACCCCCATGACCCAACCCGTTCCCGAAGACCCCACCCTCTGCTATCATACTAGGGTTAGGGTTCCAACAGGTGAGTGGGGTACAGACCTCGGACAGTCAAGCTTCCCACCCCGGGCTGGCTTCCCTGGGGCTCCACCTCTCCAGGGACTGCCCAGTGCCCCTGCCCTCCCTCTCCCACCATGACAAGCCTCCCTCACTTCCGGACACGGTCTCGGGCCTGCCCCATCTCTGGTCAGGATCAACCCGCGTGCCCGCACTACTTCCGGTCAAGGTCACCTGCCCTCCAGGGAAACCTGCAGAGGTCCTGCCCCCTGCCCTTTCGGCTCCTGCTCTGCTCGCCCTGCTGGGCTCTCCTCAAATCCTTCCCGCTCCTTCTCCGCTGGCCACGCCCCCGTTTTTGATGCTGTTGCCCACGCTTCGGATCTGTGACCTTCAGAGAGGGCCGGATCTCCCCAGGGCCTGGTTCACCCCCTGGAGGGGTGAGAGGCTGGGGACCCGGACCGCAGGAAGGCAAAGGGGCCCAGCTCTGCTTGCAGGGGTCACCTGGGTGGTGGACAGGCACCTTCGGGGTCCAGAAGGGGTCCCCGACTGGCGGTGGGGTGCCAGGGCTGGGGTGCGTGTTCTGAACAGTGGTGTCTGCAAGGCGGTCTGGGGGATGTGTCATCGTGTATGCCTGTGTGCGGCGCGGTGTCCCCGCGTGTGTCACGCAATGTCCCTGTGCAGGTCCTGTGGCCCCGCGTCCTCTGAACACAGCCCGTCGGCGAGGCTCGGAGGGCGTGGGCCCCCGCAGGCTGGGCACTTTGGGGTTCGCCCTGCGACCAATAAAAGCTCCCCCAGGTCTCCCAGGTGCGGCCGTGGCCAGCGCAGGTGCAAGAGCCTGGGGCGGAGGAGTCGCGGGGGCGGGAGAGCAAAAGTTTCTGGCCTGGAGCAGGAGGCAGAGAAGTTTCGGCGGCGCCAAAGCCAGGCCAACACTGCCCCCCCGTGGGCGCGGCGTGGCGCTGCAGCCGGTGGGCAAGCGGGTGGGGGAAACTGAGGCACCGGGAGGGCGAGGGCACCGGGAATTGGTGTGGTACGATCTGGGCTCCTCGGGGACCCCCCAAGCGCTCTGGGAAATAGCCTGGGCTAGGGTGGGGGGGAGGGGCAGAAAAGTCCGGAGACAGATGGGGGAGACGCCAAGGGGTGTGGCGGGGG